TTATAATAATAATTTTGATATCATATTTGATTGATTACAGTAATTAAAAAAGTAATTCAGACATATTAGATAACTCACATTAAGAAGCTTAACTAATTAAAGCTTATCTTAGATTCTCATTTATTTATATTTAATGTTATTACAGTTCATTTAGCTTGCTGTACATAACTTCTATTTAATAAAATCTCATCCTAGATCTATCTGGGTCATTTTATTTCGAAAGAATAACTTTCATTTGATCGTCATAAGGATTAATTTTCACATTTAACCCATAAAATTTTAAACTCTTTCTAAATTAATTTGCCAAAGTCTGACATTATCCTTATTCTTGATATATGTCTAATTCTGTATGATATAATTTTTTATGATCGAATTATTCAAGTTTTATGAGGATTAAAATTTTTTAATTTTACTGAAGATTTGGTTTTTTTAAAAATCTATTTGAAAGACACCGAGAATCTTTTGAAGGTCCAGAAATTGTTTACTCTCCAAAATTAATATTTAGGAATTAGTCCCAAAAAATTCTCCTCATTAGGTGTATCGATTTCTAAAAAGAAAATGGAGTATTGATTGTATTGTAATTTTGAAGAATTGTTAAACATTAAATCCTGGTTTATTTTTATAAAGTAATTTTAAGCTGAACTATTTATAATTAGAATTTTTTCAATGAATAGATAAAGAAAATTGAAGCTAAATTACTATATTTAATTAAAATCTAATTTTATTTTGATGTGTATATGAGCCTAATTCTATCATGATCGAATTCCTCTATAAAAGTATTCATATAAAGCTAATCTTAGTCATATCCTTCATATAATTATTTGCATAATAAATTTAGGGTATTGACTACATGTAAAACTAGTTCGATGATGCTCCAGTCTAGGAAAGAAATATTTCATACATAACTGTGTCAATTTCAATCATTTTTATTCAATTATGACTGTTAAAAATCTTTGTAGAGTCACATTTTTTAAAAAGATACAATTAATGGGTGCTGAATATATCTACTTTTGACTTTAGTAAAAGAAATTTTAAACATTCAAAATCTAGAAATTACTTTCCTTTTAAAGGAATAGCTGGAAATATTCTTCTATTTCATAAAGTTTTTATGTACTTATAGGCTCCTCATTACCCTAAAAATTAGAGATAATTATCCTTCTATACATTAAGTAGAAGTTAAACTAAGGACAGCATAAAGCAATAAAACACTTTTGAAAAATTGAGTTCCAAAGCAATATTATCGACCGATTTTTAGATTAGATTCATTCTCACTCATTTTTACATTTTAATTAGAATAAAATTGCTAAATTGTCTCTTGTGATTCCAATAACATTCTTATTGTCATAAAACAATTAAAACCCTTCCTCATTTGGACTCAAAGTTTAAAACAAATTGGCTAACAATTTCTTGTCTGCTAATTTATTTAATGAAAACCTAAGGAAATTCTTTGTTAGTAACAGATTTTCTGAAGTTCTAGTATAATGTGACTTATGGTCTTTTTCTTATTAACTATGCAAATTCTAATTTATCTTTCTTAATATTATTTTAAACAATTAATAGCTGCTGATAAATTTTCAGGCATGTATAGATTCCTTAAAATTAATACTGAGCAAAAGCTTCGCTATTACTGGGCCAAAACGAAAAGTAAGACAACTATATAAGCTTACTTATCTTCCTTTTTTGATCTTTATGGAAAAATGTAGACGTAAACAACTTGTTGATATCAATTAACGAACAGCAGTAAATGATGTCTTAAAAAGTAATAGCATCACTCAAAAATTATGTAAATAACATAAAATTTGTGACCATGATTGCTAAAATTTTATCAATTTTGAAGCAACAATGAAAACACATCTTTAGTAAGAGAAATTTATTTTTAATTTACTAAACTTAAGAATGAAAAAAAGAGATTTGAAAGTTTGGATGGAAAAGAGTAAGCCTCTAAAAGAAAGGAAACGATTACCATATAATAAAAAGGTATTTTTTATAATTCCTGCCCTATTCAAGTGTCTAAAAACATCTCAACAACTGTCAAACTTCTTTATATAGATTTCTTAGTTTATCATAAACCATAGCCATAAGTATGTATTCTTTAAAGCAGTAGATATCCTTAATTAGATTAAAAACCCCCTAAACTTCACTTTAAAAATACAACATGATTAAATTTAATTTGGCTCAAAGGAAAATTGCAACTAATGGAGGTAACGTTTCTCATCTCATCAATACTAAATTATGTCTTAAAAAATTTTCTTCCTAAAAGCATATTGTAAAGGTTCATTATTTCTTCAGCTTCCTTATTACTATATAACGAAAATTATTTGCATGTTTTCAAATTAACAACAATCTTAATCATAGGATATTGATTTTAATAAGACTGTAAGATTATAATTTAGACATCATAGTCGTCCTTTTTATAATCAAACAAAGCCTCATATATATTAATAGCTGGAATATTCTTTATCTTCTTATAGCTTTCTGTCTTCATCTGTAGACTAAAGATTTGATTTTTACAATCAATTACTTCTTCATAATATCCTCTAAAAAATTAATAGTAGCTAGACATAATTAATCCAGAACATTTTCAGATATCTTAAGATGAAAATTCATAAAATTTTTTTCATCTTTTTTTTTATGTGATATATCAAATTTTATACAATCTGATAATGGCTTTTCAAAAAGAAAAGCAAATTACTATTAAATTTTGAGTAACTCAGTTAATATTAAGGAGATACTTGTGTATAAAGCTTGTCGTTATTATTATGCCCTTTGCTGATATAAAGATTCAAAAAGAGGATGCTCAAAATGACCAGAAACTAATTTGGCCCAACTTAGATTCAATGCATAAATAATAAGAACTTATGTTACTGAATTTTATATTACTTTAATTCTAAATTATAGAAAATTATAAATATAAAAATTGACTTTTTTCTTTTTCTCTACAATTATACTTTTACAGCCAAAACTCGCCCACTGGATCCTTAGTTTTTGTTCATTTTGCTTTGTTAATTGATGAGTCAGGTAGTACAATGATCTTTTATCTTAAAATATTTAAAATTTATTTCATTTCTATCTCAGTTACTATGTTTTCCATAATCAGATAATTCAATTTTATCTTTTAAATTCTAGAACAGAATTCATCAAATATTTTAAAAATTAATTATTCTTTTATATCATTTATTTTATTATTTAATTTATTAAACAAATCATTTGAAAGCGAATCATAAACCTTTTCAGAACAAATTAAACTATTATTAGGAGGTATTGTAAGGAAGATTTTAGGGAATGCTAAAAAATCAGAAGAGAATAAATAGAAAATTATTTAAAATCTATAATATGCTCAAGAAAAATTCCAAATAAGTATTGAAAATAAAAATTCAAATAAAGCATCTTAGTTCTAAAAGAAAATATAAAATTTAGAAGGAGAAATGCAGAAAATCAATCAAAAGGATAAAATTGTTAAAGATTATCATCAGGTTTATGATAGATTGATCCAATAACTTTAAATTACTCAAGATTAAAAAGCAAACACACTATAATCAGCTTAAAGAAATAATCAATTAGTTTACAAAGTCAAGTTTATAAAAAAACATATAGATCCACTTTTTGAAATTTGCCAACGTTGCAACAATGTATCTTTATTATTTATAGTTTTAGCTTTTTAATTAATATCTTTAATTTGGTGTTGATATTAAATTTTAATAATCAGATATACTTAAGATTAGCCTGATAATAGACTAGAAAAAAATAATAAATCATAAGACGAAATGAATTAAATTCAGTAAAAGAAGAAATAACTCTAAAGTGATTCATAATTCTAATCTTAATTCAACTTGTTTGATCGTAAAAATAGTCAAAGGGGAAAAGAAAACCCTTATTAATATGAAGAAAACAAAATTTATCACTAGTTCTAAGGGGGTTAGTATGAAAATAAAAAATTCATATAATCATAATAAGAAGATAAATATTCGAAATAATGGAATAAAAAATACTATGAATAACCCAAAAAGCCATATTAGAAGTACCATCTTTTAGATATTGATCAATAATTTGACACTGAAGATAAAAATTAAGAATATGAAAATCCCAATTAAATGAAAAAACAGCAGCTTAAAACAGAAACTTTATTAGATGATTCTAATTGATGAAGGATTTATTTTGAATATCCAAAATAATATGTTGCTACTCCATGTGGTCATTTTGTTTATTGCCTTAATTGTAAAGACTTAGCATCGAAATAGAGAACAAGTAAAAATCAGTAAATTTGATTTTTCTATTGAATTAAAATTAATAAATTTGAAAGTTTAATTTTAGCAAGTTTTTTGAATAAAACTGGGTTTTTAAAAAAATCTTTTCAGTTACTTGAAAATACTTATTTATTTTAACATATTATAATTAATTCCTCTTCATTCTTCTAATTAATTAAATAAAAGGATTTCAATAAACTTTACTGTTTACATATCTTATCAAGGTTTAGTAACTAACAAAACAAATACTATCATTAGCCACGAATAAAATTTTGTTATCTCATATGCCAAAAATCTTTTAATATTGTTATTTTGCCAATTTCCAAGTGAAACTTTGTCTAAATAAACAAAATAGAAATTTTAAGATGAATAACTCAAAGTTTTCATTTCAAAATCGATCGAAGTAAATAAGATAAAATTTTAAAGTGCATTCACTTCTCTATTTAATTAAAACTTTCTCCGAATTATCTATAAATATTTGATGATATTTCTAAATCTTGAGCAGCACCACCCTTAATATGTTTCCATCGCACATGATTATTGTTCAAATTAGAAAAGGCATTTAAGTTTATTTAAAAATTCTGACTTAATATAAGGTACTAAATCTATTCTATTATTTCATTGAGGATTAGACTGATTTTCTCAACCTATCAGATAAATCATCTTTAATATCTTTTCTTTGGAAGATTTTAAGACTATTCTTTTTTCTAATTGGGTATTTTCTTTTTCGTTGTGCAAGAAGCCTGAATATTCCACTTTGCATCTATAATAATTGAAAAATTCAACATTATCTTTTTTTAGAATAATATTTGATTTTTAAAGGTCTAGAATTGTTGAGATATTTAGTCAGAGATTGAGCATTTTTAATGCCTCACTTAAATTACTTATATAACAGGAACCTTATTTTTATGATCTGACATTTTATACAAAGCTTAAACATTATGCTCAGAAATTTATTAAATTGTTTTTATTAATAATTATGTAAATACTTAATGTGTGCATTCATGACTTATGATTTATTAATGATGGAATTTATTCTTTCCTTTAAAATCAAACTTTGAATTATAAAGGCAGGTACATAAAAAATAATGTCAAGATTTTTTTTTAGAAAGAAATTAAGTTAATTTTTTATAGAAATAAAATTAATTTTTTGATTGAAAAACAATATTTAATGTCATCAGCGAATTTTTCCAAAAGTATGAGTTTAATATTCATCATTCCATCATAATTAATTTGATGAAGATGATTATTAGATTTTATTTTTAAATTATTTTTAAAACAATGTGTCTTTCCTTTTCCTACAGAAAATTTTTTGTCAATTCAAATCCATGTACAAACCTCTCATTTTGAAAAATTTTCATATGTCCGAAAATAATTTTTGATTAATTAATGCGAGTATATTTGCTGAATGTTGAATTGGCTAAATGCCTTAGAATTTAGAATTGAAACGACACAAATTAAAGTTGGCAAATTATTTAAAATATCCAAAAACAAAATACTACAGATCCATTATATTTATGTAGAATGAGATTAATTACCTTAGGAACTTGATTAGAGGCTCATTTAAATCTGAAAAGATATAGTAATGAATAAAAAAGAAGTAAAGTTAGATTTAACATTATCAATTTCCAATTTATTAAAGGAGGGAGATTGAGATTATAAAATAATTTTTGAAATTAAAAATAGGAATATTGAATTAGAGATGAAACATAATTAGGATTCACATAATTTTGATTTGAAAAATACATTTTTCCTCAAAATTTATGAAATTGCTAAGCCATCCTCCCTCATCAAATTTTTTGAGTAACACATTAATTATGATTCTCTTTTTATTTTTAATAACTAAACCAATAAATCTCAAAAAATTATAATCGTTTTCATATTTATAAAATAGACATTAAGTTTTGATACTTAAATCAATCTTTAGCATCTCTTATGTGATTGAAGCAATAGAGATGAAACATTGTTTAAATCATTTAATTGCCAAATTTTGAAAAAAAACTTAGAAAACCAATATTTAGGATGGTTAAGATTTAATTCAAAGCAACCAAATTAAAGCATCGACTATTTTGTTCAAAGTTTAAAAAATATATGTAAAATAAAAATAATCGGTTGAAAATTATAAAATCTGAATGCAGATCTCAATAGTTACTAATCCAATAGTCATTTATCTCTCTATCTATAATGGATATAAATACACGATAATAAAAAGGCAAACAGGATGGGCATATTAATCGAATCTTGTAAGTCTATTTCTTTCCATATGCCATCTATCCAACTTTTGGATAGCAAATCTATTATTCTTGTGATTAAATATATAATAATTTTTCTTTTTTATTGTAACCATTTAACATGAAGTGATAAAGATGGGTCTACTAATACCATTCTAACCTTATCCAAAAAGGCAATTTTAAGGTTTAGAGAGACTTTTTAAATTATAATCTTTTTGTTCCTGTTATAAAGTACATAAATAAATGTAATTTATGTAAAGTCGTGAGATGTTAAAATATACTTTAATTCTTAAATTTATAATGAACAAAGTTTATATTTGGTATATTTGTGAATAATTATTTTTGTAATATTAAAAAATAATCACATACTTTATAGTGTGTTGCCAATGATTAATACCATTTATTTCTTCCTTTTTATATATTTAATTAGGTAGTTACACAAATTTATCATTATATTCATCTTAGGGGTTAATCTCGTTTTTATAGAGAAGAAAAAATTTCGTTATTTTTGGATTATATATAATGGATATGTACAGATGAGTACCAATCTTGGTCATTATTTAATATAAATTTAGGGTAACTTTATAATTTCATAATGAATAAATTTAATTGTGAAATTGAATTCGCTAAAAAATAATGAGGAGTACTATTAATGTAATTTGAAATTATCTACAAGGTGACTTTGATTATACATAATCTTAGTGATTTATAAATTTTTATTATTTGAAGTATGTAAAAATTTAATTAGAGCTTAAGCTAATCAGTAATTAAGATTCTTAGATGGTGGTTGGAGAAGATATAATTATCTCTTTAAATCTTAATAATTTCAAAAATATACTACTTTTTCGATGATTAATATACCTTTTCAGTCTTTTATAAAATTTAATACTTTTCATATCAATTGAAGAATAATAATCAAAGGTGATTGGTACATTACTTTCAATATGAAATATCATCCAATCTAATTTTTTTTTCTTTATCATTCTTATATTAAGTTTATTTTTGTAAATATATTCTTAATTTATCTTTTTTCTTATTTTTTTTATAAAAAATATCTTTTAGTATTTATGAACTAATATTACAAAATTATTAATTATGTTGTTAAGACTAATCTCTTTTGTAAATAGTAATAAATTAAGTAAATCTGTCATATTATATTGTAGATGTTTAATAAAAGAATGTTGTGTTAATTAAGTTTTCTTTAAGTAATTATATCGATCTTTATTTTAATCTTTTCATTTTGCTTACTGTTCTCTGTTTAGATTATTAATTACAAGTAGTATCATTTAAATTTAAATCACTCTCAAGCAAAATTGATAACATTTTTTGTAATATTTAAATAAATAATCCCTACACTAACCTGACCATATATTTTAAATAATGACCATCCNATATTTGTGAATAATTATTTTTGTAATATTAAAAAATAATCACATACTTTATAGTGTGTTGCCAATGATTAATACCATTTATTTCTTCCTTTTTATATATTTAATTAGGTAGTTACACAAATTTATCATTATATTCATCTTAGGGGTTAATCTCGTTTTTATAGAGAAGAAAAAATTTCGTTATTTTTGGATTATATATAATGGATATGTACAGATGAGTACCAATCTTGGTCATTATTTAATATAAATTTAGGGTAACTTTATAATTTCATAATGAATAAATTTAATTGTGAAATTGAATTCGCTAAAAAATAATGAGGAGTACTATTAATGTAATTTGAAATTATCTACAAGGTGACTTTGATTATACATAATCTTAGTGATTTATAAATTTTTATTATTTGAAGTATGTAAAAATTTAATTAGAGCTTAAGCTAATCAGTAATTAAGATTCTTAGATGGTGGTTGGAGAAGATATAATTATCTCTTTAAATCTTAATAATTTCAAAAATATACTACTTTTTCGATGATTAATATACCTTTTCAGTCTTTTATAAAATTTAATACTTTTCATATCAATTGAAGAATAATAATCAAAGGTGATTGGTACATTACTTTCAATATGAAATATCATCCAATCTAATTTTTTTTTCTTTATCATTCTTATATTAAGTTTATTTTTGTAAATATATTCTTAATTTATCTTTTTTCTTATTTTTTTTATAAAAAATATCTTTTAGTATTTATGAACTAATATTACAAAATTATTAATTATGTTGTTAAGACTAATCTCTTTTGTAAATAGTAATAAATTAAGTAAATCTGTCATATTATATTGTAGATGTTTAATAAAAGAATGTTGTGTTAATTAAGTTTTCTTTAAGTAATTATATCGATCTTTATTTTAATCTTTTCATTTTGCTTACTGTTCTCTGTTTAGATTATTAATTACAAGTAGTATCATTTAAATTTAAATCACTCTCAAGCAAAATTGATAACATTTTTTGTAATATTTAAATAAATAATCCCTACACTAACCTGACCATATATTTTAAATAATGACCATCCAATTTGGCTATTTATTATCCTGTTTTGACATCACATAGTCGGATAGATTTATCATTACTACCAGATACTAATGTATTTCCATCAGAAGAAAAACAAACCGAATTGATTAAACCGTTATGACCATTTAGTATATTTAATTCAAGGATTCTTATGTTTTTCCATTTACATTTAAATAACAATGCTCCATTCAAATTAATTCCGCTTATGTTAACGTTATTAAATTCTGATCCACTTAGATTACATCGAACAAAATTACTACCCAAGAAAGAAGTATTTTAAATCTTAATGTTTTCAAAATTTTCGTTTTTTAGGTCAGCTTTCATCTAAACTAATATATGTAATCAATTTGACCCACATTATATTAAAGTGTTATCTATAGTTGTGAGGTGAACTAAAAATTACAAAAAAATTCAAGATTTATCTATTTTTATTTATGCTTTCAATCATAAGTTGCTTTAATTTTTAGTTTTCTTCAGTAGAATAATCTTTCTTGTTAAATTCATGAACTTTAATTTGTTTGAGAATATTTCTAATTTTCTTCATGCTTTAAGTTACAACATCTAATTTCCACTGCATATCAAAAAGTTGGATGTTTTCATCTTTAAAAATATATTATTTGTAATATCTTGTATTTCCATTTTCTGATAGAAATCCAATACAGTCTTAAACTTTTTCCTTTTTTAATACCTCTAGTATGACACCAAATATTTGTTCATCTACATCTTTAATTTAATAGAAGATGTCTGCTAGAGTTTCCTTCTCTTAAAAAGAGCACTACATTTTCTTTCCTTATTTTAATATTGAATTTCTATTACTCTAATTTTAAGTTATATACTGTTAAATTGATAAAAGTATATTTTATTTTTGTAAAATAGAGGTTCAAATTTTGTTTCAATTTGGTATTGTTTAAAATAGATATGAAATAGGCTATTAATAAATCAGTTTAACTTATGTAAAGATTGATTTTTAGATAATATAGAATATCTTTATTTTGATATGAATATTGTAATTTATACATTTTTTGAATTCAATAATTGATAGATTCATTCCTCTTTTTCTTCATCTCTGTTTAAGCATAATTAATGATTTCAGTTATAAATTTAAATTTTTCAGTTTTTTCTCTAAAATACATTTAGATAAGTGAAATCATGAGTAAGAGAGTTAAAGTGAAAAAATTAGATTTTTACAAAGTTGTTATAATAAATATGAGTAATCTTTTCTACTATTTTCTTGAATGGCATTCTTCTATCCCTTTACCTCCTATAGCATACGGATTTGGTTAATCCTTATTCCAGCTGAGGTTATATAGAAGAGAGAAAGTAGATGTGGAGGAGTAAGCTTAAGGAGAAGATGAAGGAGGAGAAAAATGAGTAATTAAAATTATCTGAAAAATATAAACATTATATTTATTAAGAAGATTGAATTTTTCAATTAAACAATAATAATGGAATAATTGTAAAATTCAATCATGTTTATAAAATGTAGTTACTATTAAGAAAGGTTTACAAAATATTTATAAAGCTTTAATCAATTAACTATAATTTTGAAAGTTTCAACATAAACATACATATATACGTGAACCCAAAGATAAAAATCATTAATTTTCTTCTTTTTTATATTAAGTTAGTTCTATAGATTTCTTATCCAATTAATCTAACCTTATAGGGAGTTAAATCATTATTAGAGATGAAAAGTAAAGTATTTTACCCCTATGAGATATTGGATATGTAGAACAATATCAATTTGTAATTCCTTTTTCATCAATCTTTAAATTATTTAATATAAATTTTGGGTAATTTCTTAATTTAACTGTAAAATGTAGCTGTTTGACTTCATTAAAAGAATACAGTTATTAAAAGCAAAGAAGTGTAAAGGGGTATATTTTGTCTAGATATTAATTAATTTAGTTAAAATCATCTTGAAGGTAAAGGCGATTAATACATAATCTAAGTGAGTTATAAATTTTTATTATTTGATGTATGTAAAAATTCACATGGTTCTATAATTTAATCGGTAATTAAGATTATTAGATGGTTTTTAGGGAAGATATAATAAGTATCTCCTTAAATCTTGATCATTTTAAGGGATATAATACTTCTTGATAATTAATGTATCTTTTTTGTCTTTTATACTATCTAATACTTTTCATATCAATTAAATATGTTATGAAAGTATTAGCAAGAATATCAAATAGTAATTTTAAGAATCATTCAATCTCAATGTTATAACTTTGTGATCGGTTCGACTATTTAAAAGATTAACTTTATTTTTGAATTCTTGAAGTATCTTTTTATTATCTTTTGATAAAATATATCTTTTCTGATTTATGAATAAAAATTTAATTTTACAAAATTATTAATTTATTATTTTTAATATCAATCCCTATTATAAATAATATTAAATTAAGTAAATCTATCATATAATTGTGTTAAATTAGTTTTCTTTAAGTAATAATATCGATCTTTATTTTAATCTCATCATTTAGCTTACTGTTCTCTGTTTAGATTATTAATTAAATTAGTATCATTTATAATTAAATCTAAAGAAATATAAATTGATAACAGTAAGATGATTAAATTATATAATCCGTACACTGAACTGATCTTATATTTTAATAATATTAAAATAAATGTGGTGTATATACACTGAAATTGAAAAAAGCTTTAAAGAATAAGATCTTATCTAGCTTGAAGTTTAAGAGTGAAACTAATTAAGACAGAATTAAAAAAATTATTAGATATTGATTGTAATTATAATTGTTGTTTGATAATGATCAGAATCACTTTTTCTATAAGTCTTCTAAAAAGCAACTGCCTTTTTATTTAAACATTGTCTTTAAATCTATACCTGATTGATTTATAAACTCTCCTTTCAAAATTAATGCTCCTTATGCTTAAAATATGGCCTATTAGGATATGAGGAGTGTAGTGATGTAATTGGAGGCTAAAAATATTAAAAAAAATAAATATTACCTTCATATAATGGACAATTTTTTTAGAGTGGAATCTTAAATTATGCAAGAATATTTTTGTAGCTTTTATCAAAGGACTTAATTTCTTATCCTGTTTTGACATCCCATACACGGATAGAGTTATCACCAATACCAGAAGCTAA